ATGTATGTAAGAATTAGACATACCCTGTTTCCCTGAAAATACGGCCTACTCTGAAAGTTCTAGCTTGATTTTTACATGCGTACCCAATATTAGCCCTACCCCCCAAAAAATAAGCCCTAATTAAAATCCCGCTGACTCCAGAGTGCACAGGTAAAAATTAAAGTAGAGTGGGGATGGAGGTGGTAGAGCTGCCCGCACACCCCAACACCTGCCTTGCCGGCCCATTTCTTCTGCAGCCAGCAAGGCTGGCAAGGTTTTCCTGAAAGCCTCTGTAACTGATAACAAAGCTCCGGATCAATCTGGAGCTCTGTTATTGGCTGCAGAGACCTTCAGGAAAGCCTTGCCGGCCACAGAAGAAGAAGTTCCTGAAGGCCTCTGACAGTGAAAAGGAGGCCAGGGGCAACACGCACAAGTAAGGTTAGTCAGTGGATGTCATCCCTTGTAAATAAGACCTGGTGCCTATTTTGGTGGCAAAAAATTATAAGACAGGTTTTTATTTTCAGGGAAACACAGTAGTAGATCACTACATATACCTTGGCCAATGGATCTCAATGGAAGGTGATTGAATGGTGTGTTAAATGTGGTTGGCAGGCATTCGGCAAGCTAAGCATAATTTTCAAGAACAACCCCCCACCTATGCCTCAAGAGAAAAGGTTTTGATCAGTGTGTCCTACCTGCTCTAAATATGCCAGTGAAACATAGACAATCAAGCTCACAATCAATACAAAAGCTACAAGTGGCACAAGAGTCATGAAAAGATACATGCTTGGCATCACCAGACAAGTTAGAAAGACCTGCACATTGATTAGACACAAATAAAAGTATACAATATTATCAAGAGAGTAAAAAGAATTGAAATGGAAATGGGCTGGTCAAATAGCAAGAAGAACTGATGGCAGGTGGACCAAGGCAGACGTAGAATGGATCCCACTTGATAAAAAGAGTCTGTGAAAGAGACCTAAAAGAAGATGGATTGACGACATCAGCAAGTATTGCGGGCCCAATTGTCACAAGAAAACTCAGGACCATATGAGTTGGAAACATACAGAAGAGGCCTTCATTCTGCAGTAGATAGACAATGGCTAAAATGA